AGCTCATATGCCTGTCTTTTGTTTGGCTGGAAGCCACAGGAGTGGGTTCAATTCCAGACCTGAAGGGCAGCTAGGGGCCATAGTCTCAGTGGTTCTACCAGGCTCTATCAGACCAGCAAACCTGGTCCCTTTTTTTTTTTTTCTTTCTTTTTAATGGTTTTGAGTTTTGTTCCACATTGTTCTCGCACTCTATCCAGGATCTCCTACATAGATTCCCCTCCAAGTGGTTGACATTGGTAGCCAGGCACCATCTAATTCTTCTGATCTCATAGTCATATAGGCTGAAAATCACATGGTGTCCCAGTCACTAGGACTAATTGTTTCCATGTGTCTTTTGTTTCCTTCATTCTTCTTTGCTCTGGTTGAGGAGAGACCCATTGTTGCATCTAGATGGCTGCTTGCAAGTTTTTAAGATCCCAGTCGCTACATGCCAAACTAGGATGTGGAACAATGTTTTTGTGTTGTATGTTATGCCAATTGAGCTTGATGTCCCCTGTGACTGTGGTCCTGAGTCCACAAGTCCAACTACTTACTTCTTCTGGGTAGCTGGCTGTGACCAAGAAGTGACTACAATCTTGTCCCATGTCAGCTCTACTATATACCTGGAAATTCTTATAAAACATACAAATATGCTTGTAGAAATATTGTCTGCCAGCCCTGTACATGGTCTTGGGCACACTCTCCCCTGTGTAGACATACCTAATCGTTCAGCCTGTCCACCCATCTATCTACCCATATATCAATGTTTGGTGTCACTGACAATGCAGTACTGTTGTGCAAAAGGTTCATCTTTGTGGTCTATACCTCTCATGCACCTCTCTATGTCTTCCTCTTCCTTAGTGCCACCGTGTTGATCACTCACATTTGGCACATTGCCTTGCCATTCACCCAAATCAATACCTGTCTCTATCTATTTAGCAGGGTTCCCGCCTCACCCCTCCCACCCCTGGTAACCAACAAAGAAAATTTCCTTCCATATATAAACCTTTCCTTGACTTTTTACAATAGTAGACTAATACAATATTTGTCCTTCTGTGATTGACTTATTTCACTCAGCATGATGTCCTCCAAGTTCATCCACATTATGCGGTGTTTTGCAGATTCTACGTTATTCTTTAGTGTTGCGTAGTATTCCATTGTGTATGTACCATAGTTTGGCTATCCATCCTTCTGTGGATGGGCACCTAGGTTGTTTCCATCTTTTTGCTATTGTAAATAGTGGTGCGATGAACATGGGTGTGCATATATGTGTTCTTGTCCTGGCTCTCACTTCTTTCGGATATATAACTAGTAATAGAATGGCTGGGTCAAATAGTATTTCTAATTCCAACTTTTTAAGGAATCACCATACTACTTTCCATAGTGCTTGTATCATTTTACAGTCCCACCTGCAGTGTATGAGAGTCCCAATCTGTCCACATACTCGCCAGCATTTGTTATTCTCTGTCTTGTTGAACTTTGCTACTAGTGCTAGGGCAAGATGGTATGTCATTGTTTTGATTTGCATCTCTCTAATGGCTAGTGGGGAGCTCTGGTGGCATAGTGCCTAAGATTCAAACCCACCAGCCAGTCCTCAGAAGGAAGATGGGGCAATCTACTTCTGTAGTGATACTGCCTCGGAAACCCGAGGAGTGGTCGGTATGAGTTGAAATCGACTCAACGACAGTGAGTTGTTTTTTTTTTTTTCCCTTGGGTTATTGGCTAATGATCATGAACATTTCTTCATGTGTTTATGGGCTACCTGAATATCCTCTTTGAAGAACTGTCTATTTATGTCTTCTGCTCATTTTTTAATTGGATTGCTTGTCTTTTTGTTGTTGAGGTATTGGCGTTTTCTATGAATTTTAGAGATAAGTCCCTTGTCAGATGTGTCATTGCCAAATATGTTTTCCCATTCTGTAGGTTCTCTTTTTAATCTTTTGGAGAAGTCTTTGGAAGCACATAAAAATTTAATTTTTAGAAAGTCCCATTCATCTAGTTAACTTCTACTGTTTGTGCATTTGGGGTTATGCTTCATAGTCTTTTTATGCCATGACTCAGGGCCCCTAAATTTGCTGAAAGGGCTTAGCTTTGAGCAGTTACTCCTGTGGCCGGAAGTTTTCCCTGGCGATTTGCTGCAATTTGGCTTCTTGATGAAGTGAGTGGTTAGAGGATACAGTGCCCAGGCTGGAGCATGGAGAGGGTGGGACTGCTGGCTGCAAAAGGAGGGGTAGCACTTCCTGTCCTCAGTGTGTATGGGGGGTGAGCCCTCGCTTTTTCCAGAATCAGCTGTGACCTGCTCTCAAAGCCTCTCTCCCTGCCTTTACTCCACAGAGCCTCCCACAGGTAGTTCCTTTCACTTAGTGTTTTGCCCTGGGTGAGGCCACTCTCAGGGAGGCAGGGTGGAGCAGGGAAGGTGACGCAAGGCATGCTGGTCGTTGCTCCATCACTCACTAGCTCCATGTGCCTATGGAGAAGATGCTTTAGACTCAACTGCTTGCTGTCAGTTACTGCTTTAAGTGGGATGGATACCTGGGCCTAGAGTGAGGCTCCATTAGGCTCTGAGTTCTGGGAGTGGGGATGAGTTACCTTCATCTCTGGATCCCCCACGAGGCCTAGCCTTGGGACAGGCCCAGGCAACTGCAGATGATGGAATGACTTATGTTCCTTCAGCTGCGGAGCCGTGATGGCTCGGAGTACCTGATCCAGCACGACTCGGAGTCGATCATCAGCACCTGGCAGAAGGCCATTGCCCAGGGCATCCAGGAGCTGGTAGGGGGAGGCCAGGTCCTCCGGGGTTGGTGGAGAGGGGGTGGCCAGCCATCCTGCAGGGCCGCTGTGCCCATGGTGGGTGAATGGCAGGGTGTGGGGGAATGGGGAAGCTCAGTGGCTCAATGGGCAAGTGCCCCTCCCTCTAGACGCAGTCCCCCTTGTTGCTGGGATGGCAGGAGGGGTTGCTGAGGAACAGCTTTCCTTAATTATGAGTCCAGCCCCTGCAGGAGGACTCTCCAGGTGGAAGTGGGGCCACCTAAGCAGGCCCATACTGTCTTCCTTGATTGTGCCTCCCCTTAGGATGGGTCCCGCATTTCCACTGCCTATGACTGACAGCTATTTACACAAAAATGACCTGGGTCTTTTTGACCCTAATTTCCTATGAGCCAGTACTGGCTGTATTAATAGAAGTAGGAATCCAGATCTAGGGAGGTGATGCAGTGCTCTGGCCCCAGCTGTAATCACAAACTCAGTACTGAGAGCCACATATGGAGCACTGTTGACCTAGTGGAGTGGGTCCAAGGTGGCTGAGGGATAGGGGAAGAAGGGGCCAGAACTGGGAGATGGATAGGGTAGTTAGGATGGCTGTCCACAACATCTAAAGGGCTCCGTGCAGCGAGGAAAGCTAATACTCTGAGTCCCCGGTGGAAGTGAGGGGAGTTTACCTGGGTAAGGAAAAGAAGAGCTTCCTCCCTGCTTGGAGGTCTTCTGGCCCAGCTGGCTGGGAGGGCATTTCGCGTCCCTCCCCCCTCTCCGGGAGGACCCTCAGATCTGAGGCTGCATGATTCCAGTCCGTAGACTTTCCCGCAGAGGAGGAAAGTGAGAACAGCAGCGTGGACTTCGGGTCCAGTGAACGCCTGGGAAGCTGGCAGGACAAAGACGAAGACGCACGGCCTGGCCCAGGTTTGAGAGCCAGGAAGGGAGGGCGCCATCTGGGGGGTGGAGACGCCCAGGCTGGGGGCGGAGATGTCCTAGAGGCTGGCGAACGTAGGGCCACCCAGCGCCTCGTTCCCCCGCAGCCACGCCCACCCTGGGTCCTGGGAGCCAGGAGAGCGACTTGAGCAAGGTCCGGCAAAAGCTCCGCAAGTTCCTGCTGAGGCGGCCCACGCTGCAGTCGCTGCGGGACAGGGGCTATATCAAAGGTACCTGCGGGGCCTGGCGGGCTGGCGGCGCGGAGCGGCCGCGGGGCAGCGCTGACGAGCCTCTCCCCCAGACCAGGTGTTCGGCTGCGCGCTGGCCGCTCTGTGTGAGCGCGAGAGGAGCCCGGTGCCGCGCTTCGTGCAGCAGTGCATCCGCACCGTCGAGGCCCGGGGTACGAGCGGCGGCTGGCCAAGATCCCGGGTTCCTCAAGGGCTTTCTCCCAGGACCCCCGTCAGAGACCCGTGGGTGGGGCAGGGCCGATGAGGAAAGAGTGGGTAGGAATCATAGCAGGGGATTTAGCGCCATACCACCCTACCCTATCCGACCCGAGGTCAGCGCCTCCCTCTGCCCCAGGGCTGGACATTGACGGTTTATACCGCATCAGTGGAAACCTGGCCACCATCCAGAAGCTGCGCTACAAGGTGGACCACGGTGAGGCCCGTCCCCAGCCCCTGTCCCAGGGCTGAAACAGCCAAGAGGCACTAACTCCTCCCGCTTGCTCCCGCTCCCCCACTCGGTCCCCTGTCACAGATGAACATCTGGACCTGGACAACGGGCGCTGGGAGGACGTCCACGTGATCACCGGCGCCCTGAAGCTCTTCTTCCGTGAGCTGCCGGAGCCCCTCTTCCCCTTCTCGCACTTCCACCGGTTCATGGCGGCCATCAGTGAGTCCCTGGGAGAGGAGGGGCGGCTGGGGTGAAGCGGAGCCCGCCTGCCTCGGCACCTCCCTGGCTGTCAGCCCCTCTGGGCTCCCACGGCCCTGGATGAACCCGCTCGCCTTCCCCTGATCCGTCCTCTGCCTCCCGGATTTGACGCTTGCTTTCCCCCAGAGTTGAAGGACCAGGCCCAGCGCAGCGGCTGTGTGCGCGACCTGGTGCGCTCGCTGCCCGCCCCCAACCACGACACGCTGCGGCTGCTGTTCCAGCACCTGCGCCGGTGAGCGGGCGAGCAGCGCGGGAATGGGGAGCTGGGGTTTCTCCCCAGCTCAGGGCCCTGATCCCACCTACCCTCACCCCGCTGCAGGGTGGTCGAACACGGAGAGCAGAATCGCATGTCGGTCCAGAGCGTGGCCATCGTGTTCGGGCCCACGCTGCTACGGCCTGAGACCGAGGAGAGCAGCATGCCCATGACCATGGTGTTCCAGAACCAGGTGGTGGAGCTCATCCTGCAGCAATGCTCGGAAATCTTCCGGCCACACTGACCACAGCCCGTCTCCCATCACTCCACTGCTGGAGCGGTGGCCATGGTCCAGGCACCGAAGCTGGGCAACTGGAGCCGCTGCGGCTGGACTCTGAGACCCTTCGCTCCCACCGCAGGCCGGTGTGAAGTCGGCACCCCGCGATTCTGAAGATAGGGTGACCCCTGGTGGGCAGTTTGCAAAATGTGATTTTTTTTTTTTTTTTTCAAATCCTGTTTCAGGGTTAGGTTCAGTTCTTTGCTACAGCTCCTACTACTATACCTGAGCAAGAATGCTTGTGGGCGTGGTTTTCTGGAACAGGCCCATGCTGGGAGGGAAGGGGGTGAGTGGCTCCTGGCTTCTTCAGGCCTTCGCATGGTGTAGGCCTTCACGGAGGCCCCAGCTCTGTACTGACACTGTAGGTCATGAGGCAGCAACCAACAACTTCCGTGCTGTGCAAGTGGGACCTACTGGGCCAAGGGGGCGGGCAACTGAACTTGCCCTTCCTCAGGCTGCAGGGATGAAGCTCCATCCGGGCCCTCTAGCACGCTGGCTGTGAACCAATTTCATTTCTTCCTCTTTGGGGTTCCCTACCTCTGCCCTGCCTGAGCCATCCCCTGTGTGTTCTGCAAGGTTCCTCCGATTCACTAAATGTGTATTCTGCACCTGACACTTGACATGCACCATTCACACACAGCCCCATTTTGCAGACAAGGAAAGTGAGGCTTGCAGAGACTAAGTTGACTTATAAAGGGCCCAGTGGCTGGTCTGACTCCTAGCTCTCAGTCTCCTCCCATACAGCCTCCCAGGAGGGTGAAATCTATGCCCTCAGCCCCCCACACCAGCCCCAGCAAGAGATTGTGGGCAAAGCAAAGAAACTGAGCTGGTGAGATCCATCTGGGCCTGGGAAATATCCCTGAAGGCAAGGGGGGAACATGCTCCCATTTTTTTTTTTTCCCTGAGAGGAGAAGTAGCATTGGTAGGAGCCCCAAGCCTCTCTCAGTACCCCAACTGGCAAATATGTCTTCCTTCCTGGTACCCAGCTTGTCATGAAGGACTGGGAAAGGCCGTGTGAGTCCTCGGGCCATAGCCTCCTCCCTCCTCACACACAGGAGCCACCTCAGTTTATGGGTCTTGAGCCCCAGCCCCACCTACTCATTTGTTTATTCAACAAACAGTAATAGCTCAGATTTGTTGGACATTGCACTGGGCCAAGCATTTTCCTTCAAGTATCTCATTGTTTCTCATGGCCAATATTTATTGTCTGCTCTTCTGTGCCAGGCACTGTGCTTTAGGGTTGGGACACAGCACATGCTGCCTGCCCTCAGGGAGCTTATGGTCCAGTGGGTGAGGCTGACCCTCGCCCACCCCTCATCCCAGCAGAGACCAGAGTACAAATGGAAGACTCATACCATATGTCTAAATATTTAAAAGTTATAAATCCAGTTAACAACTGTTAAATAAAATGTGTTCTATTCTCCTACTTTGACTAATAACTTTCACAATGACTTGGCACATTCTGAGACTTCTTTGGTTCTTCAAGTTCTGTGTCATATGTGGTGGTGCAGGCAGAACTGGCCCTTGGCCTGCTTCCCTCTTCCGTCCTCTCCTTCAGAGCCATTCTGTCTCAAGGAGAGTTTTGAGCACACACATACGGACACGAGTCCACACGTGCAAATTGTCCACTCTCAAGGGAATGGACGTGGGGCAGTTGGCTGGGGTCATTTCAGTAAGGAATTCTGGAGTCCCCAGTATCCAGAGCATGGTCTAAATGCAAGGGCCCAGGCTTCAGGAGGGTCCCATAGATCCTTCACCTCACGGGGAGAGGTGAAGAAGAGAGGGCCAGAGTGGAACCTTTCAAAGTAGGAAATCTCCCAGGTTCGAACTGCACAGACATTAAACAGCTGAGTATTTGGTAAATTACAGTTGTGACAAAAGTTAGGATGAAGCACAGGGTGCTTTGAAGAAGTGTCACTGAGGTGTGACTGGTCCCCAGGGACCTGAGATGTCTCCCCAGAAGCCATGCTTGGGCTAAGCACTAATGAGGCAATGAGGCAAGGGAGAGACATCTAAGCAGAGGGAACTGCACAGGCAAAGGAACTGCCCAGGAGGCAGGAAGGCTTGTGGAGAGAATAAAGCCTAGAGCAGAACGTGTGATGAGCCAGAAAGCCAATGGGCATGGGTGTGAAGTGATGCTGGACAGGCTGGTAGGGGACGCCACGTGCAGGGCCTTGTGGGCCACACCAAGTGGAGGCCTGTGGCCAAGGACATGGAGTTACTGGGGACAACAGGCAGGAGGATCCCTGAGCAGAGAGGTCTTAGGAAGGACAGGCTCTGACTCTATCAAGCAGTAGGCCCCAAAGTTTCAGTCACCACATTTTCTCACCAGGAGGAGCTTCTGAAATCATCCACCACCAATGAGGGACCTCCCAGAGACATGATGTCCTAACTGGCAGGTTGGTTGGCAGAGCCTGGCCCAGAGCTTCATCTGCACAATCTGAGGGCCTACTGTGTGTCCCACCATGTAGCCTCAACACTGAGCACAGTGCATAGTACACACAGTGCACTGTGAGTGTGTTGTGAATGAATTGGATTCGTGTGTTGGGAACTTGGATATTTAGTATCTGCCCTCTTGAAGCTCCATCTGGTTAAGGGAGAACCATAAAAATTTGTGACATTGGCACAGTTGATGAGGGCTGTCATCAAGGGTCCTCTTTCTACCCCGCCTCTTCTCAGCAGGTACCACGCACTCCTGCAGCCTCGTGCCCACCTGGTTACTGGATCCAGTAGACATGCCCAGGCCTCATACAAGTGACACATAAGGGTCCTGTTGCCCACCTTGAGACACACTGGTCCTCTGTCCGCAGCAATGTGGATCTTCTCCCACCGCTCCACCTTTCCTCTCTCAGCTCTACTTCTGCCCACCCTGTAAATGGTCAGGTCCCCAGGGCACTCTTTTGAGGGATCAATCATGGGAGAACCGAAGAGCAGTGTATGCACAGGGAGGCAGCTTGGGTCAGGAGTGCATGGGAGGGAAGGACACAGGGAAGAGGTAACTATGGGGAGGAAGTGGGAGGGGAGCTGTCACATTGTGGGGAATTGCAGTCAATGTCATGAGACAAAATGTGTATGAACTGCTGTATGGAAAATGAAATTGCTCCATAAACTTTCACCCAAATCACAATTTTAAAAAGGAAATAAAGAAATCAGACATTGTACTGCACTGGGAAAATCTGCTGAAAAGACCTCTTTAAAGTGCTGAGGAGCAAAGATGTTCTTTGAAGACTGAGGTGTGCCTAACCCAATCACCTCACATGCATGTGAAGGCTGGACAATGCTAAGGAAGACCAAAGAAGAGTTGATGCTTTTGAGTTGTGGTGTTGGTGAAGAACACTGAAAGTATCATGGACTGCCAGAAGAACTAACAGATCTGTCCTGGAAGAAAAGCAGCCTGGATGCTCCTTGGAAGGGAGAATGGCCAGACCTCGTCTCACCTACTTTGGTCATGTTGTCAGAAGGGACCATTCCCTGGAGAAGGAGATCATGCTTGGTAGAGTGGAGGGTCAGCAAAAAAGGGGAAGGCCCTCAACGAGGTGGACTGACACAGTGGCTGCAGCGATGGGCTCAGGCATGACAGGGATTGTGAGGCTGGCGCAGGACCCAGCAGTATTTTGCTCTGTTATGCACAGAGTTGCTGTGAATCTGAGCCGACTCAACAGCACCTAGCAACAACAACTAAGTAGACGACAGACCTTACCTGGTTTTGCATTTTTGGTCTGTACTCATCATTTCTGTATGCCTTTGTGTATGATTTCATGACATTTTATTACATGTATAAATTTATATAACCACTAGCACAATTGAGCTCCGTCATCACAGAGGAAGTCCCTTCTGCTGCCCTTTATAGTTACACCCTCCCTCCCCTGCCCTAATCCCTGGCCACCTTATCTGTTCTCCATCTCTATAATTTTGTCATTTAGAAACTTATATACAGCGAGTCACACACTATGCAACCTTAACCGAGTCATTATGGACTGGTAGTTCATTGCTTGTTAACTCAGAGTTAAAGAAAGAGATTCACCCATCTGTGGATGAAGGATGGACGGAGGGAGACAAATTAGGAAACTGATGGAGTCCAAATAATTATCGCAGCCACTCAGCTCAGGCCTGGCATCATAGCTTCCTTGCATCCTGAAACCAGCCTTAGATGTTTTCAGGCCGTGAGGGTCAGGGTTTGCCGCAGATCCAGGCATTAGGCGTATCGAAGCGAGCAGCCAGTAGGGGGCGCCAGAGACCTTTTTCCCAAAGAGTAACTTCCAGCAGCAATCACCACCAGGAAGGCTCAGAAGGACTCAGGTTATTGAGTCCACTTGGCTCAGTGATTACATTTAACCAAAAGGGGCAAGGTCCGCGGTTCTAACCCAGCAGATGGGACAGTTCACTCTGCCTTACAGGGTCACTATGAGTCAGAACCCACTTGATAGCAACAGGTTGTTTTGTTGTTATTTATTTTTGAGGGGGTGGCTGTTTTTGTTGTTGTTTTGTTTGTTTTAGGAGGGTTGCCTGTGGGCAAGAGAACCCTGGAGCCTTGTCCCGCTCTGGACCCCAGCCTCCAGCTTTCAGTCCAGATGAGGCGGATGCTGTGAGTCAAGAAGGAGGCGGCCCTGATGAGGTGGGCTGGGTCTGGCAGAAAGATTGAGCTCCGGCCCTTGGTCAGCTCACTACGCTCCTTCAGAGGGTAACTGAGCCCCAACGCAGGGCTGGTTCTCAGCCTCTCTTTTCTGTCAACCCTTCCCCGACCCCAGCGACTGCGCTCTGTTTCCCTCACCCCAACTTCTCCCAAGAGGCTTCCTCCAAGACCCCAGAGCGTGTGTTAACCCCCTCTCTGTCCCTGTAGTCTATCCTTCTCTCACTTTCTTGGTTGCAAGAAGCCGGCTGATGCGCCCATCTCTGCAATGGGGGCCGTACCCAGCATGCTCTCGGCTGTTTGCATGCGGCACTGGGAAAGCTCTTGCTGGGAGACC